AAACCAGGACACTGAAGCAATCTGTGAAAACAAATGTGTTATCTTGCTGGAAATCAGTAATAATAAATCCATCTGGTTTCTCCTTAGAAGTCTGTAGCCTCTGGATCTGGTCAATCATCTGACAATCCCATGATTCTCCTTTGGAAGCTCTTTATAGCAAGATGCTGACTCAAAAAAGCAATCTCCTCATTATTTTAACATTTCTCCACTAAGCTAAAAGTGTACATCAAAACCCTCTTTTAGTTACAGCCAATATATATTTTGGAAAATACACTCAATTCTCAATTGATGGTCTCAAGGGATCCATTAACAAATAAATCAAGAGATGGATTCCAAAACTGGTTTTAACTGTGCACATTCACCTCGTCTCCTAACATAGCTTTTAAGCAGACTTTAAGTAAATACGTGTAATTCATTATTTGGCTAAACTTGAGTGAAAATGAACTAAACTGGAAACGGGTGAATTTTATGGCATGTGAATTATATCTCAATAAAGATGTTAAATACAAGGAATGGAGGTGAGTGAATTAATGTCACAGGTGCAATTCAGAATAATATTATGGATGGTGACCTTGGTGTATCAAGTAGCAAGAATTCTAGTTCCAGAAATCTCTCATTCATTCATTCACTCATTCATTTATTCACTTTAATGAGTGCCTATTTAGTGTCAGGCATTACAGAATATTCTTGGGGTAAAACATTAAATGGAACACACTTTCACATCATAGGCTTGTCACTTGCCATTTCTGGGCTATAGCTTTCTCCATTTCCTATGTAAGTGGACTAGACACAGTGCTTCTACTTGTTTCAATTTTGTTGCTGGTGGAGGTGCTAACAACTAGGTCAAAGAGAAAGGCATAGATTTTAGGACATACTGAATGCATGAAAGATTGCCATGTCAGTTGCTGTGATACAAGTACTTACTTTCAATGAAAGATCTTGTTTTTTTTTTTTAAAAAAAAACAATCAGGACTTTTGAATAAATGGTTTACACAATCAAATCAAAGTTGATTAGGTATTTCCTCAAATCAGGCACTCAAGTAGTTTAAACATATTTTTTTCATTATTATAATGATCCAGGTTGTGTCATATGCTTGAACCAAATAGATCCTTTCTTAGTCCTCTGCCTTATCTGGTCAATCTCCATTTGGAAAGATACCATTTGCTGTGGCATACAATTTGGAAGTGCTCCAAGTATCATCTGGCTCAAATACACTGACTTTCCATTGATGAAAACTCATTTGGGCAAAAGGAACCGTTCTGAACAATAAAAGGGAATTTAGTAAGAGCAACTTCTCGTGACCTTGGAATTCAATTTGTCAGGATTGGCCTCCCTTCACCTTACAGATAATAAGAATTTGATCTATAAGATTTATTTACCACCACCCTAAGGATATCAGACAAATCATAAAGGATGAATAAAAGCCTTCTCCATAACTTCTTATTTGGCACACATAAATCAAACTAAACACAGCTTGAATACGTCCTGTATGAGGGCACTGTGTCCAGTCTGGGGCTTTTCAACTTAGGAGGAATATGTAGTATTAATATGTGAAAAATGTCCCCCAAACACGTTTAAAACATGAGATAGAACTATTTTGGAAAAATTAAAGATTTAGCCTGGAGAAAAGAAGGCTAGAAGTCTTTTAATGAGTGCACATATGCACAGGAAACAGAGCTGCAGCTAATTCTCACCTGCACTCAAAAAGTACAAGGGGCAAGTACAAGTTAGGGATATAATGTGTCTGCTCATGTTCATTTTTTCTGATGCTTGTGATCTTCTAGCTTTGCTAGCCAGATTCAACGTTCAAGAAGTATAGTAGGAAGAAGACAGGTTTTGACATCAGGTGTGAATTATTGATTGATGAAACAGGAATAAGAATATCTACCTCACAGCAATGTTGTATAGAAACAACATATGTAAAGTTTGTAGCACACAATAGATGCTTGGGAAATGCTTAAACTCTCCCTCCTCCACACCTGACCACCATACCCCAACACTCTTAATCCTGGCTATGTGGCCCAGATTGTGTGAATGGGGAGATTAACATGACATTTCTATTTGTCACACATTTTCCATAGAAAGCATGTATTGAAAATCAAGTTGGTATACTGTTTGAGGATTAGCTTGCTGGCTCTATCATTTCTCAGCGAACGGGGCAAATCCTGGCTCCACCATTTACTAGCTCACTTTGACAAGTTTCTAACCTCTCAGTGACTCAGTTTTCTCATTTGGACAATGAAGATAATAAGAACTACTTCATGGAGTTGTGAGGATTAAATAAAACCCATGTAAAGCACTTAGCACAGCACCTGATGCGTATTAAGGGTTGGTTATTATTACTGTTATTGTTAGATATTCAGTTTTATGATAATAGGTACAGAAAAGCCTAGAAACACGATACTATGTGTCTTCTGTAATTTACGCTAATAACTTTTATTAATAATAGATAATATTTTGTATTTTTTCTATGCCAGAAAATGTACTAAATGCTTTACATTTTATAGATATTAACTCTATGTATCGGAGGAAGAATTGAACCTCTGAAGAATTAAATAACTACCCAAAGTTGATTGGTTGGTTGTGTGTGCACGCTCTCTCTCTCTCTCTCTCTCTCTCTCTCTCTCTCTCTCTCTCTCTCACACACACACACACACACACATACACACACACACACACACACACACTTAGTACTCAAACTTGAAGATGTCTGACTCAAAGTTTATGCACCTAACGAAATATTACCAGTTTTGATAAGAAGATATCTATATCGTTATCACTCATTTTAGTCCTTCTGCAACAAGTCAAATCAAAAAGATACTTCTCAGTCATGTGTGAGGATAATTCCAAGGTTTCTGAGATGCAGGACGTGAGAGCTGGCAGAGACTCAAAGAGCCAAGTTCCATCTGAGGAGACTGGGGGTGAGAGGTTGATTCATGGTTATTTGTTCAGCCCTTATTATGTGACATGAGCTATTCCAGCACTAGTAATACAATGGAAACCAATCAGTGATGGCTCTTGCTTCATGAAATTTCTGGTATTGGGGATGTTAGAGATTGAACATACCTAATTTTGTTAAGTGCTATGATGAAGAAAAAGTCTGAGAGAAAGAGAGTGTATATTTTCCATGAGAACTAATTTAGTTGGGGTAGGAGCAGAAGACAGAGAGAACTTCTCAGAAGTAGGAGTTTACTTTGTACAAAGTTAGTTGACTGAGCTAGTTATTATAGATCTATGATTCTCATTCCTGGATTTTGTCCACTGCTCCATAAACCTCCAACAACTTCCAGCAGTTTGCATTTGCCAATTCCATGACACTGGTTTATGAAGTCATTTCTATTTAAAGGGGGAAACCCTTTACTTTTAGCTCCCTGGTCAACACCCTGCTTATTATAATCTTTTGAGTGTCTTATTTTCATTCCTATATCTTTAAAGGGGGGGTGGGAATTCTTTGGTATGTCTCTAATCTGTGTCATGCCACAAAGCAGTGAACTGTGAAAAATACCCAAGGAATTCCCAATAAATCGTACAGAAGGCAAATAAAGGGCATGTGGCTATTAACTTAAGCAGCTCTGCTTTTTCAACTGGATCCCCGGAAGTTTTCCCTAGAGAAAGGCTTACCAGGCTTTCGTTTCCATGAAGTCTGTTGAGTTTGAGCAGCTCCATCTCCTTTTAAAGTCATTTCTTTCTGGCCTGCTCTGGCACTTGAACTCATTTCTCGTCTCAGGTGTGCACTCAGCCCCTTTAAAGCAGAGTGAACTAAATACCAAAAAAGGCAAACTAAAGCATGACAGCCCTCTGGATATAAGTGTCTCTTTCTGGCTTGAACCTGTAAAATACTTCTGTATGTTGCTTACCAAATAAAAACCCAATCCCAAACACCTTTCCTGAAACAGATGCACAGAAGGGCAGAAGTTTACCAAGGGGGAAGTGAACTCTACCCTGAAGGAGGACTACAGACGTGTGTGGGACCCGAACTGCAGCTCAGCTGCTGACATGACAATGATGACACCATGCTTAGCACTAGACAGGAGGTCCTATGGATCATTCTTTCCTTGAAATGAAACACTGACAAGCATTCACTAGCCATTCTCTTGTCTTTTTAAAAAATTGTTTGGAATTGCTTTTTGCTCAGTGAATTCCGTGGGTTTTATTAAATTGTTGACAAAATGAGAACCAAGCTGTGGCAATCTGTGCTTAAGGAATATATAATTTGCCTAGGGCTGCCACAACAAATTGCCACAAACTGGGGGCTTATAACAACGGAAGTTTATTCTCTTACAATTCTGGAGGCCAGAAGTCCAAAATCAAGGTGTCAGCAGCGTTGGTTCCTTCCAGAGGCTCTAAGGGAAAATCTGTTCCACCTCTCTCCCAGCTTCTGGTGGCTACTGGCAATCCTTGGCATTTCTTGGCTTGTAGCTGCATCACTACAATTTCTGCCTACATCTTCACGTGGCCTTCTGTGTGTGTGTGTGTGTGTGTGTGTGTGTGTGTGTGTCCAAATTGCCTTCTCTTTTCTCTCATAAAGACACCAGTCATTGGATTTAGGGCCCATCCTAACCCAGTCTGACCTCATCTTAACCTGATTACATGTGCAAGGACCCTATTATCACATAAGCAAGGACCCTATTATCACATAAGCAAGGACCCTATTATCAAATAAGCAAGGACCTTATTATCAAATAAGGTCCCATTCACAGGTACAGGGGTTAGGACTTGGACATATTTTTGGAAGAAACACAAATAAACCCACTCCAAGAAGTAAAAAAAAAAGCTCTGCATTCTATTTTGTTCTCTCTCCCTCACTCGCTTCTTTCCTCCCTCCCTTTCTATATTGGCTGAAGGCACAATTCAACCACTACACAGTACAAAACTCAAGTTGTCGATGTTCATTGGACATTAATGAAAGCATACTCAGGAGGTGATGGGAGTGTTCTGTATATTGATTGTGGTAGTGGTTTCATGGATATGTATACACAGCTTTCAAAATTCATCTATATAGTTTATTTGTATGTAAATGATTCCTCAATAAAGTTGATGAGAATATGTATATGTATACGCTTACATACATACATACCCCAGGCACAATACCAGTTTTTTCCCATCTCCCTTCTATACCCCACCCAACCTTGTCACCAGAAAAACATGTTGGGCAAAATAGGTCCTCCTGTTTCCATTCAATATAGAGAAGTGAAGATTCTAGGGAAAAAATTAAAATTTCAGAGGGAAAAAACTCATATTATTTGGTTGCTTTTAAAAATTAGAAATATTAACTTATTTTGAGACTCTAAGTATACCTTCACCCACAAAGATAGAAGAAAGTAAAACAAAGAAAAAATGCCACTGGCACATGGTGTGTGTTAAAAAATGTTTATCAGTTTTGAATTTAGTTGTCAGCCAATTTATATTAGTAAAAGTTTCTTTAGATCAAGTTTCAAAGCCAAAAACAAAAGGGATGATCATCTCACATTTAGGATTTGATGGTGGGAGATTGTTTCACATGCTGCAGGTAAACAATAACCATGATTTGTTTCAGGACTGACCCTGAGACCTCACAGAGAACATCCATACTACAACTTAGTTTAAGATTCTTATACAGCCTTGCTTTTCACCTGCCCCAATAATATAGGTACCACGAAAACGGAATGGTTGGCATTTAGAAATACTGTACTCTTACCAGCTAAATCAATAAACATGTAAGTAAAAGGGGTAGAAAAATATGTCTACGCCAAATTTTTGTTTTGTAAAGTCCAGGAAAAGATAAATGTGAAACACTAGAAAACATAGAACATCTTGCTAATATTTGTACAGAAAGTGAGAGAATGGACAGTATTGCAAGAGGATTTTTTTGTGTGTTCAATGCAGATGTTGACATTGAGACAGGAATTTTTTTCTCTTCACTGAATTTGATATTTGTAAAGTCACAATTGGTGAGGGATGGTGAAATTAGGCACACAGAATGGGGAAATACTGGGAAAGGTGAATAAAAATAGTCATTTGAATTTCTGAATATAATGTTGGAAAAAAGTTGTCATAGATCTTGATTATCAACTGGATGGATATGAAACCTCAACTGGGTACCTGGAAGGATCATGGTCCCAATTTTGGGCAATGTGAAACTGATCCAAAATATTGTGCCAAAATTTTACTGTTGGTATACAAATGTAATAGAAAACAAAAGTTTCCTGTACTCAAAGACCCTAGGTTTTATCTCCACTGACATTCATCAATTGTAGTTTAAGTGCCTTGGTTGGCTGGTATATTCATTCCGGGAGATTCTGGAATAAGAATCTAAAGAAACATTCTTAGTCCTGTTGCAAAAAAAGTCATGTTTACAATCAAGAAGTAGTTTAGGCATAGGGAAGTCTTGCTATTTAATGTAATTAGCATTAAGTACTATAAAAGTTCTCCACACATTTCTCATATATTCCACATCAAGTAGATTAAAATGTTACCCCTTTTTCATGTTCCAGCAACTTTGAAACAGAACTCTTGACTTCTATGGGCGAGTGAGATTCTATGAACTGTTTTCCCACTAAGAACACAGAAATGATATCAGAGGGATCACAATCACTTTGAGAGACATAGGATGAAACAAAAATCAATGATGTTGACTAAGAGTTAGGAGCCAATCAGATATAAGTCTGAAATATTACATGGCACTCAATCAGAAAGTTCAATGTGATTTGGGACCATTTAAGCAATGGGATTATATAACAAACAAGGGGAAAATGGGATGCCTTAACCTGCAATATTGGACCTTAGGACTGAAAAGAAATAAGCAACTGGAGGGAATCCAGAGAAGATCATCTACAGTTATGGTTTTAAAGCAAAATATGAACTGTACAGTGTAGCCAAACCACACAGTCAGACCCAAGGGGCATGATAAAAATCTACAAATAACTTGGGGGTCTAAACACCAAGGGTAAAAAGGAATTTTGGCTGGAGATATGAAAAGTTTCAAGGGATAAAGTTAAGGAAAGGGAAATTTAGGTTAAGCATCAGAATATATCCTTTGATAGTAAGATGTGTTTGTAGAAGAGTCTCTCAAGGGAATAGAAATAATACTGATGAGTTTTCTAGGATCCCTGATAAAAGGATACCTTGATGTCAGTCCAAGGATTCTAGAAATTTCATTGGAATATTCTTGTGCCAAAACCAGATGGAATAGATAGTGTTAGGTTTTCTTTTTAAATCCTGAATTAACTATGATAATTATAATGGGGAATAGATAGTGAACAGACTGTTCTGCCCTTTAAAAAAAAGGTATCCTAAGGCTTTGTTTAACTTATCCTCTCAGGAAAAAAACACAAAACAATAAGCAAACATGGGCACTACTTTTCAATAGCAAATATCCTAATAGAGGAGCAAGTCTGAGAAATTTGGTTCTTCAAGTATATATACTTAAAACCATTTATTTCTAGACTACCAACTATATTGCTTCTGAAGCTTGCTGATGAATAATAGGAAGGATTCTGGAAATCAATTAACAAAACCACCATTTTTGAAATTGGTAAACAAAACCCATAAATCTTCCTTAATTGAATTTGGCATAACCTGGCAGTCAATCAGAAAGTCCACTGTGACTTGAGTCTACATAGGCAAAGGGATTATATAACAAATAAGAGTCAAATAGGATGCCTTAACTAGGAATGAATGAATCCACCATCATGGTGGCTGCAATATAAACCTAATAACAGACTGAAAATCAAAATAGTTTTAAAAATATTTTAAAAGTCCAAATAATTTTCTTACAAAATCTTCCTATCCAGAAAAGCCACTATATTTCCCATGTGTTTTAGAAACACACATACACTGAGTTTTTAAAAGGAGCCCCAGCTTAATTGGATGATTAGTTAAAACAATTTTCATTGTTGGCAACAGTGAAGCAAGTTTGAGGCAAATGGAAGGTCAGGCACGGTTGGAAACAAGATGATGAATTAACTGGCACATGTCTGCTTCAAGCCCGAGGAGTGTCAATAGAAGAGTGCCCCTGTTCAGTGGATCTCTGACATCCATGACTAAGAATGTATGCCTTTGTGCCTGAAGGGCATTCATAGTAGCCCTCCACAATCATGGCAGGGGTGCATTTTCAACCCCATGGTCATTGTATGGGCTTAGAGAAATAGAACTTATATGAATCATCAATTACATTTGTGCAACCACCTTGAGTTATAAGTGTTTGTGTGAAGTGTGACTCTGTTAACCATCTACTCCAAATGCCAAAATCCAATGAGGCATAACCACCCAATGAGGCATAACTATACAATGGTATCCCAGTGGTAGAGAGACATTAAGTGTTTTCATTACAAGTGACAAGTTAAACGGTATTGTTACTAAAGAAAGGACAAGCAAGACCCACCTACTTTTACTTCAAATGTGAATTGTATGAGGAGGGAAGAAAGCCAACACCAACAATCCCCCAAATGTAACTTGGCATGAGTAATCAGGCCTGGAAGCAAGAGATCTTAAATGCCATGCCTCTTAGCAGCACACCTGATTGACAGCCACTGAAAATACTTAGGAGGTTCAGGGTGAGAAGAGACGGACCGCGATGGCTGGTGGGAAATTAGAATCTCTTTTTGTCTTCAGGCAGTAGATTAAAGCTGCCAGAAGGAACTCCCAGGCTGCAGCTTGTCCCGCAGCATTTACAAAAAAAAAAAAAAAAAAAAAAAGTATGGGCAAGGTCCCCCGAGTCCGACCCCCTTTGGCGAGGCATCAGGTTCTCTTTCTAATTAGATTTCATGACGTGTCTCCTCCTAGTTGAACACCTAAGAACATCCAAGTAAATTGATTTCCTCCCTGAAAATGTAATAGGGAATAAAGAAAGTCTTCCAAAATCAAATTTGGATATAAGACGAGTGCTTGTATCGAACACCTGTATTTACAGCGTCATTGTAAGATTTTTGTTTCTTAATAAAAGACACGGTAAAGGAAAGTCACTTTTACATTCTATAAAATTCTCTTCACCTCTAAGTGGTAAAAGAGGCCACAGAAACACAAATAGAAGTATGCAAGCATTTCCACATTCTGTCTGCTCCCTGCTGAGATGGTTGTATTAAATAAGATGCTTTGCAAAACTGAAATGTTAGGTCCAAAAGTCCTCCAGGAGGCGGGCGAGGCTTTGCGCTTTACAGATTCCAGGGGTCGACCCCGGGAGAAGTTGTTCCCAGACTCATCTCTAAAGCTGAAATATTGACTTTGCCAGCGTTTCCCAGCTTCCCAGGACAGTGGCCTCTGCGCAGAGGTGTCTTGGAGCAAAACGCAGAGCCAGATGGTTTTGTGAGCACCACTCTCCGCAGCCTTGGGGCAGTCGCTGTGCCCCCCGCCCGCCCCCTGCCTGGCCTCACTTACCCCTCCTCCTTATGCACTGTGCTCGTGACCCTTGCCCGGTGAGGACCCCTCCCCTTCCACTTTTCTTAGTAAGTCCCCATCTCTTGCCCATTCTTAGGCAGCCGGCAGCCACTACATCTGAACTGAGTTCTATCCTTTTTTTAAAACAAAAACAGCAGGAGGGGGAAAGGGAAGGCTGGAGATTTAACTCCAACTTCAGAGAAACCGTCTGGGGCTGCCCATCTGACACCAGTGGGTGGGGTGCAATCTGACACTTCCTTTCCTTTCCAGAAACGTGAGTGGAGCTGGCGTGCCCCTTGATCTGGGGGAGGGGAGACGGGGCAGAAGGTCCGCACTTCCGTCCTCACGACTTTCTCCCCTGGAAACCTGGTATCAGTGGCCAGCTGCCCTTCCTCTGCGCTGCTCCCAGGTTTGGCGCCCGGAAAACTCCTTCACGTTCTGCTTTCTCCTCCGGCTCCTGGCTCAGCCCTGGCGTTCCTCCCGCCCTACTCGTCCCTGCCACCCCTTTCCCGCTGCCTCTAGCGTGAGCGTGCGGGACGTCCTCTCTGGTGGAACATGGGCACCCGCCCCTGGGACTCACTCCTGAGCTCTCTCCTTCACGAATAGCACTGAGGGCAGCCGGGAATCCTCTCCCACCGTAGTTTCTCAGCCTCGGAAGGCCCTGGGCACAGCGTGCTCAGTGTCCCCACTTTGCAGCTAGCAGAGGCCCCGCGGGAACCTTGAGCTCAGAGATACTCTTGAACCTCGGCAGTCGGAAGAGTGGGCGCAGCGGCCCAGCGGAGACGAGATGCGCAGCCGCAGGCTCTAGGGTACAGCGAGGGTGCACCGAGGGCACAGCTCGAGCGCCTAGCTCGGGCGCGGGAGGAAGTTCCTCTAGCGGCGCGGGGAGCGCGGTGGACGCGCCCTGGGCGCACGCCCAGGCAGCCTCCTGCCCAGCCCTCGGGACTGTCCTCAGGCCGCGAGGAGGAGCTTGCCGGAGTCTTCGAGGCTATCCAGAGCCAGCGAGCGGGAGCGCGTAGTCTCCCGCCTCAGCTGGGAAGGGGGAGTGGCGCTGGCGGGCTGGAGCTGGGAACCAAGCTAGCGTCTGATCTTCCTCCTCCTCTTCCTTACCCTCTTTGGGACTTGGGCTCTGGTGGAAGGTTCTAGCGGCTGCAGGAGCCCCCCAGACTCCTTTTCCTAGAAGGCTGGTGATGGATCTCCTGCTTCTGCGTCCGCCGGGGCACTTGGAGCGCACTGGCGGCGCGTGAGCCGGGCATTGCCCTCAACCTCCCTCAGCGGGCACCGGGCGGCCCCGCCTGGTAGCTTTGCCCAAGCCCCCTTTCCTTTTCCAACTCAAAGCCGCCAGCGTTCCAAGAGGGAGAAGAAGGTAGCCCTCGGGCACTGCCCCACGGAGATGTCAGCGCAGAGCCTTCTCCACAGCGTCTTCTCCTGCTCCTCGCCTGCCTCAGGCGGTCCGGCCTCAGCCAAGGGCTTCTCCAAGAGGAAACTGCGCCAGACCCGCAGCCTGGACCCGGCCCTCATCGGCGGCTGTGGGGGCGAGGCAGGCGCAGAAGGCGGTGCTCGAGGGGCCACTTCAGGCCGCCTCTACTCCCCACTACCCTCAGCCGAGGGTCTCGGTCCCCGCTCAGCATCTTCTCCCCGGGGCCCGAACCCCCGGGCCACCCGGCCACCGCCGCCCAGACCCCTTTGCTCGTCCTTCTCTACACCCAGCACCCCACAGGAGAAGTCACCATCTGGCAGCTTCCACTTTGACTATGAGGTCCCCTTGGGTCGCAGCGGCCTCAAGAAGAGCATGGCCTGGGACCTGCCATCTGTCCTGGCTGGGCCGGGCAGTGGCCGCAGCGCTGCAAGCATCCTCTGCTCCACCGGGGGAGGTCCCAATGGCATCTTCACTTCTCCCAGGAGGTGGCTCCAGCAGAGGAAGTTCCAGCCCCCACCCAACTGCCGCGGCCAACCCTATGTCGTGTGGAAGTCGGAGGTAGGGACCAGCACGCATCCTCTCAGCCCAAGGCTGGGCGCCCCTGGCACTTCCAGGGGGACGTCTTTAATTCCATCACATTTACAGAGCCAGGCACTGGCTGAGGGGTTTCCAAGGTGTTCCACTTCGGCTGATTAAATGGTGCCTGGAAATGGGACGTCACTAGTGGCCACCGCGTGTGTGTCTTGCAGGACTTGTTGGCTCCATTATGGAGCAGTCGTGGGAGCTGGAGGAAGAGATGGTGTTTGTGCTGCAGGCAATTTCAAAGGGTCACTTTATCCCTTCATCCAATGTTGATACTTTACGGAACTCAAATGATTTGTTGCTAAGCTGTTTGTAACGATTGGATGAAATATATTTTGAAACATGTCTGCCATTTGGTTGTTCTACACAGAATTCAGGAACATTATTTCGGACGGTGTTATTGATTGTGTGTGTGTATGTGTGTGTGTGTTTGAGTGGCAAGGAGAGTAGCTACTAGACTTCTCTAGTTTTGACCTCTTCTTTTCCCTAAAGGGGTAATTTCAGAAATCTATGGTACTGAGTATTATTAGTTTGACCTACGAGAAAAAAAAAATCTCTCCTTGGGGATATGAAAGATCATGAAAATACGCCCAAATTCCAATAAGGACAATTAGTAGTTAGTCAGGAATCAGTAATAGATAGGGAATTTAGAGGGAGCTATTTGATATCCTTAAAATGTTTGCTGTCTAGAAGAAGAATGGAGAATAGAGCCGTTGAGAAACTGTCATTTATGGACACTTGGGAGACTGGACACTTTCAGAGAATAAACAATAGTTGTTTTAAAAATGAACAACTCTTACCCCTTTCAGTCCACAAACTCTATAGGTTTGCCTTGGATCTGTTTCTATAAGGGAAGAGAGATTCCATCAGTTGTAATTAAATATTTTAAAGTACAGTTAGCATTACAGAAATGAAATGAAATACCATGTAATTGCTGTAGATTTAGGCTAAATACACAACCAACCGAAACCAATTCAAAATAGCATCCAAGATCATATCCAGCTCTGTTAACATGAAATAACTTTTAGATTTTGCCTTGAATAGACAGCCTTAAAAACCAGCATTATTTATCATATATATTAGCATCACATATTGTTAATGTTATGTTAATTACTGTCTCAAAGTAACTGCTGCTGTTGGGTGAGGGGTATGGATTATAAAAAAAAAAAAAAAACAAACTAACAAATGTTTCTAACCATTCTGCCCATTTTCTTGAGGAAGATAGGTAGTAGAAAGAAAAGTTGAGGCAGAGAGCAAGAGGTTACCTCCAAACCAGGGAACTCAGGATTGGAAAGAGGATAGAAAATTGAAACGTTAAACTTCCCTTGGTCTCAAGGAGGGGCTAGATTGCCACTATATTTCAGAAACATACATTATGAGATTAATCTGTAAGAGTTGAGGGGGGAGAGAGAGAGACAGAGAGACAGAGAGAGAGAGAGAGAGAGAAATGTAAAAGCAAGCCAACTTTTTGGATTAGATAACCACTGACATTCACATTTAAAACCAATTGCATCATTAAGAATATGCCTGCTTTTCTTAACAATCATAAACGCTTTTGGAATGTAGTACACAGATGCTGTTCATAGCTGTTATCGTCAAAAGGCATTTGACTTTAAATGATCCTACCTGTTGCAAATTATCTTCTTATCTTTAAAGATCTCATGATCAATGGACAGGAGTCTGAACTGCAGCAATACTAGGTGGCTTCTAATTGTTCCATATAGTGGGTATTCTGCACGAAGCTCTTCTACCATGACTTTTACCTTTTTGCAATGGTCAAAACTAAGTAAATAGCCATCTAGCAAAAGAACAAAATTTTCTCATAAAATGTGTGTGTGTGTGTGTGTGTGTGTGTGTGTGTGTGTGCGTGTGTATGTGTGTTGAGATTGGGGCCGAAATCCCTTTATGCTTGAGGCAGACATGGAGTGATTGGATAGAATCCTGGCATGTAGGTCCAACACTGGTTTTGTTTAGTAAAGGCCAAGATATCCTAACATAACCCCTGGGTCTGGAATTTAATGGCTTGGATTACCTTTCAAAGGTTTAACACCCTGGAACCCTCTCAAAAACCAAGAAAATTCATCCTATTGGGCACTGCTTGTCCTTCTCACTTGCAAGCAAGCTGGGTCCTTGGTCCTAAAACATAATCTTTACTAACAATACAAAAAGTCCAGCAAATGAGTACTTGCAAGATTGCTTAGAGGCTCTAGAGGGGAGATCTGGTTCATATAGATTTGGTTTTTGAACTTTTCCTGGTTCAAGATTCCATGTACCTCTTATAGTTTGTTCAAATTTTCTATTTCTTTTCCATTGACTCCATAGGAAAACCTGAGAATTCACCTTCAGGTTTAGCCATTGATGGGTCACATCCATTCTTTGGTTTTAAACCAAATTGTTCATACCAGAACTTCTGCTCCCAAGAGTCTCACATATGCCTGCAGCTTTATAACTTCTGCTCTCTCAAAGCTCACAAATGGCCATTTTGTGGCCTAAACCTGAGAGGTATTAGGCAAAGTCAGCTACAACACTGTTAGTACTTCCTCACTGTGCATTTCAAGATTGCTTTAACAAAATCTGATTCATGGACATCTTATTTCTATTCATACCTATTGAGTAGAAGAAATGAGGAGGAGACAAGGGGTAAATGGTACATTAATGGTACAAAGGGGTAAATGACACAATTGAGGCATGTTTCTCAACTGTGTCCTTGGCAGCCAAGCTCTGCCCCTGTCTCTCATCACAGATAAGAGAATAAGGTCTTGTTTCAATCCTGGGCTTCTTCTAATTCTTGTGGATCAGAGCAGGGATTATGCCCATAGCTGACCTGGAGTTTGCCAGCTTCTGTAACCCATAATTAAAATGTTTCTATATATCCATGACTTCTACACTTTTTTCAATCATGTCACAAACATTTCTTGAGCATAAGCATTTCTGTAGGTACCAGGAATGCAGAGAGGCTAAAATACCGGGTCTTCCCTTAAAGAGCTCACAGTCTAATGAGCGCTGGATGAGTCAACTGAAAGGCACAGTGCAGAAGGATTATCACAATGAGGGGTGATGATTCATTGTGCTTTGGGGTATCTTGGAAGTCTTCACTGTGCAGAGAACATTTGCACTTTTGCACTTGATCTTCAGGGATGACTACCATTTACAAGGAGAAAAAGGAAAGTGATTCCTTGAGAGAAAAGAGTGGACAGGCAAAGGCACAGAGGTGTTGGTGATGCCAGAGGTTCGAACAAAGAAGACTTAGGGGGCTTTAAGCACGATAATTTGTTTGGAGGGGGAGGTTAGGACACCTGCAGTTTAATATATGTAGCAACCACATGGTGTTTTATATAGTAACTTAATGAAATCAGAAATCAGACTCATTGTGAGGGAGGTAATTATGGATAAAAATGACAGGCAGGCCAAAGCATAGTCAACATCCTCCAAGGAGCCCCTTGGCATCACATGTGCAGAGAGGTGAAAGGATATAGAGTGTTTCCTACATGAGAAGTTTGGTGTGCCTGGAGCAGAGGTGTATCTCTCTTTGTATTGTATATGCTATACATGTGTTAGTACATATGCTGGGGTTATGCACCAGTGTTCAACAGGTAGGGTGGTAATAATTACGAAAAGGCTCACTGTACAGTTCTTAGGAGTTTTCTTCTTCTTACCTGGTATATGTCAGCCAAGGCTTTGAATTAGGGGAAAAAAGAATGCCTTTAGAAAGGTATTGAGGATATGAAAAAAAATATGGGATGTCTAAATATATATGTAGGGAAGAATTAAATGGTAGATATATAATGATGGAAACTGGAATTAAATTTTAAAATGTGGCAGAGAGGATTTTTGTGATTAAAAATAGAGTCTCACCCATACTACCAAAGAGGAAGTGATTAGAGTGAGACAGTTTCAAACAGGAAATTGACAAAGGGTCTTTTAGGAATAGTCTGAAATCGGCACAATGCCTTAAGATTTTTTAAGTATGGAAAAATATTCAACTTTAATTCTCTCTATATCAGTGTATCTTTCTGCTAGAATTCCTTTCAAAGGTAATTTTTAACTTAAGTAGGGAATAATGTGATGACAACTTCTCAGAATCCTTGGAATTGAGCTTTCAGCAATATTTTGGGATTTGTGGGTGGAAAGAGCAAATTTTAGACTCAGAGAGGACCTTGGGTAGCATCTAGCTTGGAACTTCTTATTTTGCAATTAAAGAAAGGGACTGAAAAGCTTAAGTGGCTTAAATTCAGACTGAGAGTGGAAGGCAGAACCACCCCGAAATCCTTCTTGACTCTCAATATAAACTGCCAAACTTCTGGGAAATGTAAGCAACCACCACTACTTCCATTCTTCAGCGAGCACCTGAAACCGTGGCAATCTCTTTTCTATCCCATTGCTTACTGGAACCATTCTCTCAAAGCTCCTTAAATTCCAAGAATCTTCTTAGATTCCTCTGGCCAGACTTCTGGGAAAAACTGAGAGCACCATTCCCCTTCCCCACTCCTCCTTTCCCCACCACACACAGAGAATCTCAATTCCTTCCTCACCTCTAACACTTGTCTCCTCCTGCTCCTACCTCTGTTTCCAGGCTTGTCTTTGTCCAGCCATCCTAACAATTCTGTGTTTTCGTTTCAGGTCATTCTCCCTTAATTATCTCGTTCACTTTTGTGACCTGAACCATCATTTTTCTGTGGGAGACTCCTTGCTCTGTGGCTAGCTGCAGTCTTGTGCTTGAGCTTCCGACATTTATTTTCTGATTTTCTACTAGGTATCTGCTCACAAATGTCCACTGAACTCACATTCTACATGTATGAAGCAGAAGAAGTCAGCTCGCCTTTCCTCTGAGCATGTTTCATTTTATATATTCTGTATTTTGATTGGCATCACTATTTTTCTGCTGGCTAAGGTTTACCAGGCTAGAATGTCTTCAATGTTGCTCCTCTTTTCTTTCTCCTCTCATCTCAAATAAATTGTCAAATGGGAAGTATCAT